TACACCCTTGGAGCGCTTTTTGCTGGTATCGTCTCTATCATTGCCCTTGTCGCGTTTCGAGAATCTGTCAATCAGGATTCCCAAAATCTCGACCGGGTGTGGAGAATTACTATAGGGTTCGGCGCCCTGCCAGCGATAATCGCACTGTACTTTCGAATGTCTATTCCTGAGACACCTCGATATCTAATCGATGTTGAGAGAGACTTTGATTGGGCTCAAGAAATCGAGAGTGGCAAAATACAGATTGGAAACTACGAATACCAAAGAAAGTCCACACCGACGCAAAATACTAGTGGATTAGGCGACATATACCGACATTTTTGTTCCACGAAAAGTGGAAAATATTTGATCTTGACGTCTTTCATCTGGTTTTGTACCAGTCTTTATTCGTTGGAATATACTAATACCGGATTCCCAATTGTTATTAATATTGACAAAAGTGAAGACTCGGGGGTCTTTAATACCCTCTTGGAATCTAATCTGAACTATTTGTTTTGGCGTTTTCTCGGTTACGTACCGGGAGTTTTGCTTACCGTTTACCTAATAGACCGATACGGCAGAAAACGCATTTTGTACATGGGATTTATAGCGTGTGCGGGTTTATACTTTGTTTTGGGCTTATTGGCCAAATTTGCCCACATAGTGAACCCAGTTCATAATTCTCTGTACTTTGCACTTTCTATCGTTTATCTTGTAAGCATTCGTTTTTGTTTTGAAAGATTATTGACTTATAATCTTCTCAATGTTAATAACAAGACTTCTTTATTTTTAGTTCTTTTTAATGGCCGGCCCACGTGCAATGGCCTTTGTTTTGTCTGCGGAACTGTTTACGACGCGTTATCGCTCAACCGCTTATGGCATATCCGCGGCGTTTGGAAAAATTAGTTTTATACTTTTTTTCATAATATCTCGATGGACGGTTCAGCCTACTATGCACTTAGTTATATGTATCGTGTGTGCCATTTTCATGCTGTTTGGTGTGGCAGCTACAGCTCTTCTACCTGAGACTAACAACAAGTCGTTGGAGGAAATCGCCGACGATGACGAATTAAATACAAAATATCCCATGGAGTAAGATTGCAATATTGATATAGTAGAATTTAGAATTAATGACGTTCAGTACATTATGTGCTCATTGAGTATTGTTATTATAACTACTCTCCGGTATTGCTGACAAGTTCAATACCTTGGTGACATGAGTATAGAAACTCACTATCATTTATTGGGATTTTAATTTATCGTTTAATAATCTTGTAAACAATTTATTCGCCATAAAAGCTTTAATTTTTTTTTAATATGCAAGTAGTATCGATTTTATCAATCATGATGTGGTTATCTAATTCTGACTATTGCGTTTAGGATTAAATAGAATATAACCTACTTTTCTCCGCATCGCGAAGCAAAACGTTGGTAAACGTGTCTCCAATAATTTCTGTGTGAAATAGGGCCATTAAATTGGTGGTAGGAGTTAATTTCTAAAAAGGAAATACATGATGAGTGACAGTAGTTATTGGCGCATGACTTCTATTTAAATGTTCATAGACAGGCTATTCGTCGCCAAATTAAAGTGAGTTCATTAACGTTGACGTAAAGATTACTTTGAGAAACTGACTCAACGCTTAATATCAATGTGCAAAATAACACTATTCCTATACCAGCACAACTCATTGTTTCCACAGCGCAGGGCATTTATAAAAAAAAAAGAGTGAGAGCTACAAGTTAATGAGCTTACTTATCGGAATCGGATCTTATTCATTGCAGTATTGAAGACGACGTTGGGCAAATACAAAATGTAAAGATAATAATTTATTATCTGCTATTTAAAATCATAATGTTGCCATAGGTCATGAACTCTATCATACAATAAAAATCCAACCTTACTTCAGACCAGACATACTTCTCTGTATGTTTATATCCATATTTAGCCACAAATTTACAAACTTCATCTTAGCAAAATCCGGTAACATAAATGGGACGATATTTACCTCTAGTCCTGTGAAAATGATGCATATCAATTATTATATCGCTTTTGAAAATATAAATAATAGTAAAAGCACCAGAGTGATTGCATGGGAGGAAAATACTCGGACCCAAAGCCGTTTATGAGTACAACCTATTCTTTGGTCACTCCGGTGCAAATTTTAAATTTCATTGTCCTTTATATTATTACTGTGACTAATAATATTATCATTATTATCTATTTCTTCATCTGTGTGGGTTTACGTTTTCCTTCTTTTCTTCATCGATCCAACGTTGGATTGCTTCGATCGTCTTTTTCCGTGGAGTTGTTCTTCGAAGATAAAAATTTCTTATTGTTGATGCAGCGATGGCTTTTTGTTTATCGAGCAACTTATGAATTTCAAACGCCATTTGATTAAATGAAAATTTCGGATGCAATTTAATTCTTTTGTCATATAATTGGATTAAGTCGTTCCACAACGTTTCGATATCTGGCGAATAAATTTCGTTCGCCGATTGTTCGTTTTTGACAACTTTCTGGACCTCCTAGTCTTTGTTAACATTCCCATGTTGTGGAGTTGGCTATTATAAACTATGCCATTTAGCAACAGGCCAAGAACGAAGCCAATAAATACTCCAAAAAAAAATTCGCTTGTGAATGTAAGCATTTTTCGTAGTGTTGTTGATGGAAATTGACAGATTTATTTTGTTGCTTCAAACGATGTATTGCTTTAACGATATTTATTGCGTTATGGTTGATTTCTGAAGTTAACCAGTGCCATTTTTATAATAAAATATCCGTTTGTTCATCATACACTACGGACGATTATTGATTATCATTGGTCACCTTCTGCATATAGGGGAACAATGTGAAAAGGTCTAGAAAGTTTCCAATTATGTCATTGATTAAGCCACTAATCAGCGATCACATCGTGCAGCACATCTTGCTACAAACACTACAGTCAAACCTCGTTATACCGAAGTTCGTTATACCGAAGTTCGTTATACCGAATTTCACGTTATACCGAAGCAAGCATCTCTCCCCCCACTTTTTAATATTTAAAATTTACTCGCTATACCGAATTTAATAGTAAAGTCGCTTTATACCGTTATCGAAGTTCAGCGCAGGATTTTTGTATTGTTACTAGTCTCGCTATAACGAAGTTTTGTCATGTGACAATAATATTAGTTACAATGATTGGTTGCAGCAAGTTATCAGTCGTACAAATTTCTGTCATACGCTACTTTGTCATACGATATATCTGCACTTGTAGCATGCCTAATTCAGCTATCATTGTCAGATTTTCGGTTGATTTATTGCTCGTTTACGTTTATCATACGATTTTTCGGTTGTTCTTTTGCATCCATTTATAATTGCTTGTTTTTATTTAGCGTCTATCGTACAATATTTCTCATTGTCAGCATACGATTTTCAGTCATACGATTTATTAATATCGAGGGTTTTATTTGTCATAAATTGAAATAAAAATATTTATTTCGTTATACCGAATACCTCGTTATACCGAATCATTGATGCCCCCCCCCAAACCTTCGGTATAACGAGGTTTGACTGTATTATATTATGCCAAAAAACCAGTCATGACAAGAGAGAGAGAGTAAAAGTAGATAGAACCAAGGACGGGAGAGTAAGATTAGAATTTTTTGATTTTGCTTGCTCGGTTAGTGCTGCTATCATTCTATCAACGGTAAAGTTGATACTTACCAATTGCACCACGTTCTTTCATCATGTGAGATTCTTTCACTCTAATTGTTAAACAAATTAACTCTTCAGCTTGATACTTCTCAAGCTGAGCGGTTAATGAATCAACAATTAGAGATTGTAATGAGTTAACGGGTACGTTTGAGGAAAGATAAAATGATTTCCGCGTATTTCAACACCGAAATTGTTAATGGCGTATGGGCTGATAAAATGTGAGAACAAAAAGAACAATTAAAGAAGGATATCAATATAAATAATTCGATGCTTAAGAATCTGTGATGTGTGGGGATTGCGATCACTCGTGCGTTACAGGTCAGGCCACCGCCACCGGCCACAGTACGGCGGCAGCGGGGCAGGGGGCGCGATCGTTGCCGAAGGCCGGGGCAAACTATCATTTTTTTTCTTTAATTGGCCGCGTGGCTCCGCCACCGTGGTTATGGCGTGTGGCGTGTGGCGCTGGGGTGCAGAGCTCAGGGGACAAGTGAAGGCATTCGCATTTAATTGTTGGCGGCACCTGATTCGTAAATCGGAGGTTCGAATCCTCTCGCCGGTTTATTTACGTATTATGAAAAGTATTCCCTTGGGATTAGTGTGTTAAGTTTCCAATCCGTCGAGGGTTTCTCGTCGATAATTTTAGAGTTTTGCCTATACCGTATAAAATAATTGATATTAGTCAAATTTTACAAAGCGTGTACGAACTAGGTTTGAGTGGAAATAACGTATTTATGTTATTTTCACTTAGTTTGGATATTTCCTCTCAGCTATAACGTGTGGTTTGTAAAACTCAAGTCACTTGAGTGATGGGTAGATATCAAAATCGACGAAGAAAAAATCTCCAACAGGTAAGTGAATGTAATATGTTGCGAGCAGTTTTGTAAATACCTCACTCGTTGTTGACAAAAATAGTTCCCAAGGAGGACGTTCAAACTATCAATTTTAGTACATCTTCGAAAGGTAAAGAGAAAAAGCATCGACTTTCCCAAGAGAACCATCTACGGGTAAAGTGGCGTATTGCGAACATTTTTTGTCTAAAAAGCAACTTATTTTTTATCAACATACCGTAGACCACTGCATACAGTATACTTAAAGCATTCTAATTGGCTTGACATGTACCCGGAGGTAGTACTGTATTCAGATAACAGTACATGTACGTTCGTACAAGACCTAAAAACGACGTTAGGATAGGAATTGATATATGATTATTCCAAAAATTCTGACGCGAAAATAACGTAGCACAAGATTTGATAACGCGTCCCTCCTTGTTCGATAAAACAGCATGTAATATCACACCCTGACTTTTGAAAAAAAAATATCCTGCGAGATGGACGGTCCGACAAATACATCGAACGGTATCCCTACCAGTCTTACTTTTCTAACGGTCAGTACAATGTATGGCTTCATAGTAACTGCAATCTTTAATATGTTCGCTAAATTGCGGTTCTCTATCCAGGGTGAAGAATATGAGGCTGTTCGCCGAGAACGCATTGAACGTAACCGAGCCTTAATGACTCAACTAGGATTAGTCGGGACTGATTCCCTGTTCTTAGGGAGTTCCCCTGGAAACAAGCTAACCATACCAGTTAATAAAACTCGCCAAACTCGAGAAACTAGCGGAAGAAACAGTAATAAAACTGATATGGCATTTCGCAGTAGGCTAAGGAGCTCGGGGAAGGTAAGGAACTATTCAGAAGATGGGTTCTATACTTGCCATAGCATGCTTATAATATTAATCAGTTATCTAGCGACATATTCGAACGATGACTAAATGAAATGCCTATGGATGTATAGATAGACCTTTTGAAAGAGAATTCCTTATTGAACAAGAATAATGTTGATCATGGTGAAAAGAAACGTTATCATAGAAGCAAGGTATTGAGCAACGTTCAAACACCTCGAGAGATTATACAAGCTCGTATTGACAGTCATTAAAATTTTCTATACGAACCAAGACTCATAAAAAATGGGTTTCATTCCGATGTGCGAATCCTGGGCGCCGTGTTATCGGAGGACGCGTTTATGATTCTGAACTCGGCACGACATGCCATCAATGTCGTCAGAAGACCACCGAGGAAAAGGTTTCATGTACTGTAAGTCACATATTTTTCAATTACCAAAACATTATACATGTATCTACTTATTCGACATCACACATAATAATGTTTATCTAGTATGTATTATCTGATGGAAGTTTATGTCCTGTGATGTTCGATGAGCGATGTCTTATGGGAAGGTAGCAATGGAATGTTATTTTGTAATTTAGCCTCCAGTTTCTGTTGGAATGACGATGTTTTAATAATTGCGCATTTTCAAATATAATGCAAGATACGGGGAGAGTCTTTACGAAGTTCGCCAAACGGGTGTTTGGGTCTGTCCGAAATGTCGTGGGATTTGCAATTGTTCTTTTTGCCGGCGCAGAAAAGGTCTCTGCCCGACCGGCATACTGAAGCCAGTGGCGTTGAAAAAAGGTTTTGACAGTGTTATGGATTTTCTTTCTAGTATGACCCATTTTCCTACAGAGAAGCTTGCAACTCGGCTATCGACTAAGAATATGACCAAAATATGTGATGAGAGCAATAGTGCTATGGTCAATGTCATACATCGAGAACATGTCGGTCCAGAGGTAACAGACGCAAAAGTGGAAAACCCATTAGTTGAAAATAAGCACAATCTCAGAGATTATTCGGACTTCACCGAATATGAAGATGAGGAAGAGATGGTAACGACAAGGAAGTCGAGCAAACGATATAATGGACGAAGGAAGGATAATGAAGACAGGTGTGAATCAGACAAAGGGAAACGAACGCTATATAACGAAAATGTAAGAAGATCCGAAAGACAGAGGTTGAGAAAAGA